TCTTAATGTGGATCCCAACAGTTTCAGCACTGTGTAGTAGACGAACTCTTAAGGCGAAGTTAAGATTTGTTGGTATGTGGTAAATGACTTTGAAAGCCTCGTTAACACCAACCTTGTGTTCTGTATCCAAGAAATGAGATAGAATAGAGCTATAAATGGATTTTGTTTGTCCCTTACTTAACCACTCAGGATGATGTTCGGAAATTGCATGGCCTATGAAACTGGTTTCACAGGAGCAGTCAAGTGGGTAGATACACATACGAGAGGCGAAATTAGGCAATTTATCTTTAACTCCCGAACTCAAAATAGGGGTGGTTTTGAAGACACAGCGTAACTCAGCAGCACTGAATGCTCTTTTTACCACATTCTAAGGCGTTGTGTTAGTATCTCGCTGATGTTGTCCCCAAAGAACTGAATTTGTAAGAATAAGGCCTTTTTAGGAACTGTCTGTACCTAGGGCTGCCTTGAGTTTTGATTCATATTCTTATCAATGAATTATTTTGGATAACCGTCTTCACTCAGCAACAGTTTAATATTACTAAGTTCCTCATCAAGACATTCATCCGAGCAGATTGCTCTTGCTCTGTGAACCAAGCACTTTATCAGATTGCGTTTGTATTTCAAGGACACGAAGCTGAAAAAATGAGTATACTGACCAGTTGATGTAGGTTTTCTATATACACTTCCTCTTACTGTGCCATCCTCTTTTCTGGTCATAAGGACGTCTAGAAATGAAATACTAGAGTCTTTTTCTTTCTCAGTAGTAAAATTTATTGCAGGATAAATTTCACAAAAGCAATAGGTATTCATGTCACTGATTTGAAAAATAGGGATGTATAAAATACAGTGACTGACTACTATCGACTATTCATCATGAGAATAATCTCAACACTCAGCGATGATATTGGTAGGCGGTTGATTTATATATCGCAAATCGGCTGAGTTTAGAATTCATAGGTCGGCGCCACTGGACTCCGTGGCAGAGGCTGTATAGTCACTGGGTTCGATCCTTGGTGAGTTCATGATTGTGTACTGTGGAAGAGTCTTAAACAAGGTTTGGAACAACTGTTATCTACTATAAAGTTGTTTGATATCATCATCATCATCATCACATATCAGCAGTCAAAGATACAATGTCGTCTTGATATCCGGCTTGACCTTTTTAAAATCAAGATACAAGCGCTCAGAGTAAAAACTCTTTGATTTTCTCCGAGGTGTGGTATTCGATTGATAAGCGTTTCACCACTAGACTTGGTACCATCTTCAAGCATGCTTTTTAAATAACTGTCACAAGATGGAGATTAACTAGATTTTTGTATTTTGATTGGAGTACGAGTTGATATCAGTTAAAGAACCATTGGAAGATCATGGAGTACTGGGTAGCCATTTTATCCTAGTATGGGACTTTTCAGCGGTTTGAAACCAGGACCTTACGATTACAAGGTGAGCTCGTAGACCATTCATCTACTGGGACCATATCTGTATATAAATGGGGAGAAACACTTTTTAACTGCTAAGTCAACCGCTAAAATAGTATTAGGCTTATCACATTCACTGAATAGCTGCTGATATATGGCCTAACCAAGTGAAGAATCAGTTTTTATTAATGTCTTTTTTTTAAAGAAGAAACAACCCAGAAGAAATGGTTTATTTTTACAAATTCATACAAATCAATACAGAGTTGGACAATAATACCATGTATCGCATGAATAACCGCCGACAGGTAAACTCCGTTTGTTTATTGTTTTTTTTGTGTGTTTTTCTTTGATTATCAGGCGCTGTTCCGTATGTATCTGTGAGTGTTTATACATCTGAGTGTGTGTGTGTGTGTGCGTGTACGTGAGTGTTAGGAAACTGTCAAATTATTTCTTAATCATCTAATGAAAAATCTTTCTGCCAAAAAATTTGTATCCTGGCGACAACAGGATAAAAAGCATCATTGTGAACTGATTTTAAATGGCATAGTAAGTTATGCATGTGTGTGTGTGTGTGGTTGTGTCCATGTATGTATGTGGATGGGCTGTACTTTATTCCCCCCCCCCTCTGTTAACAAATTCTACCTAACTAATATGCTTTGGCGCAATTTTCTGTCGTAGGGTGAATGCTGAACAAAATTGATATATTATTTATTTCATGAATAATTCCCATTCGGACATTAGTAGACAAAAGACAAGTAGTTCAGCAAAGAGTCTCTTTTCGGCGAATTCATTTTCAAAGCTGTACAATCGCAAATATATATGGTTATTTTGTGTGTGTGTGTGTGTTACATTAAATTTGTCAAACGAAAATACGGTTAGTAAGTTCAAATGAATTGGATGTTGATAAGAGGATAGCAACAAAAGTGATGAGTTGTCAAAAAACGATTGTTAAAGAGGAGTAAGTTCAGGTGAATTGGATGTTCATATAAGAGGATAGTGGAGCCAGGTACATCGGTCGTTCAACGCGCATCCTGTCAAAAAGGGTCAAAGAACACAACCCAGCGTGGCTACAGAAAGGAAATAATGGCCATATAAGGAGTGCAATAATCGAACATCTCGTCAACACTGGTCATTCCATCTCAACGAACGCCTCCTTCAAAGTGATCTACAAAGTGAAGAACAACCTCCCAAAGACAGTACGATTTCGTCTTCTTTGCATCGCAGAAGCCCTAGCCATCCAGTTGGTGGAACCAGAACTATGCATACAAAAGAAAATTATCCAACCACTTCTACTCGCATGGTAACAACTCCGTTGATTTGACCCAACTCTTCTTTCTTTGTTTGTTTGATTTGACCTTACTTCTGTTTGTATGCTTATTTTTTAACTTAAAACCCTTGTGTAATTCTGTATATTATTTTGTTTCCATGTACACCCTTTGAGTACACCTCATTCATCAAACTATTCATGCCATTGCGTAACTCTTATTTAACAATCATTTATGACAACTCATCACTTTTGTTGCTATCCTCTTATCAACATCCAATTCATTTGAACTTACTAACCGTATTTTCGTTTGACAAATTTAATGTATACACACACACAAAATAACCATATATATTTGCGATTGTACAGCTTTGAAAATGAATTCGCCGAAAAGAGACTCTTTGCTGAACTACTTGTCTTTTGTCTACTAATATTATTTATTATTGTTATTATTTTATCCCTTTACGTTCCGAGTGGAACATAAGGCTTCAAGCATTGAGCTTTGAAGTTTCAGTAGCAGTGGGTGGAGACGTTAGACCCACATCAAACCTTCCTTATTTACCAGCAGTACTGCTGACTAGCTAAGCAAGGTTGAAGAGTTCGTCGGCCGGCGATTGAACCACGTATCAAGTGAGTAGTTGACGAGCATTTTACCGCTGAACCACCGACGTACAATATTGATATAGGAGGAGATGAATAAGTTGTACGATATACTATTTTACAAAAAAAACAAAATATTCTGAGAAACAGGTTGATCACAAATTGGACTGTAGTTTTCATAACAAGCACAAATAAATTCTTGGTTGGAGGGTTTCATCATGAGCTGACATCAGTTGGAGAACCATTGGGAAACCAACTGGGAGTAATGGACAGCTGTTCTGTCCTAGTTTTGGGTTAGAACCCTGGCGGTGGATGCGTACTGATGAAGAGTCCCAAACTAGGGTGGACGAAACAGCTGTCCAGTACTCCCTGCAGGTTTTCCAATCGTTCTCTAACTGATGTCAGATCATGATGAAATCCTTCGACCAATCAAACACAATCCCTACAAAACCAATACTTGACAAATAATTTAAATTACCAGAGAAAACTTTAAAGGATTTTGAAACATTTACTCTTCACTCTTAGAAATTTCTTTCCTATAACTTTCTGGTCTTCTTTTTGTTTGAATCTTTCAATCTAGTGATTTAACACCTCACAATTTCATCGAGTTTATTTTTGTTTTTTCATTCTAAGCAAACCAACATGACTTCAAGCTGTAGTGTTTCAATAGTAGGTTGTGGTTACTAGTCACACGCCAAACTTCCCCTCTTTTCCGAGTTAACTACCATCTACCTAGTAAACCAGTCGAAATCTAACCTGAATCACGAGTGTGGTTGGTGGGAGTTCAACCACTGAACCAACGGTGCATTATTAGTTTGTTATTTAAGATAGTCTATACTTATATATCTGACCTGTGAATTTTAACTCTTTTCAGTTTGTGACATAGCACCTCCTTTCAATAAATGCCGTCTATCGGTATCCACTTCACCTTGACACGGTGGATCCAACTGGCTACGACTTTTGATTGTGACTTCAAGATATCTGTCCAGAAGGCATTGATAAGCTGCAGTTTGGGATTTTTAGGGATTACGATTATTTCTGTATTGATTTTATCACCGATTGACACCAGTTAGAGAATTATTGGAGACCCCAAAGAGCACTGGATAGCTGTTTCATCGTAGTTTAGGACTCTTAGCCTTTCTTATGAAGTACACCTTACACAGGAATTTTGGTTAAATGTGCTTTGTTATTGTGAAGCACTTTAGTGTGTGTGTGATCGAATATCGACATTGAATGCTGAAATATACTCACAGCGTTGTAAAAATCTGTAAATATACTAAAGATAAGGATTTACAGAAAAATAAACTGTTCGCATTGCTTTATGTTTTCTTTTAGAATCTATTCATTAAATAGGTGGTGGGTAAAACGTAACAATGGAATCTAATACTGACTTCTCACCCTGTTTTGTACTGATCAGTTAATTCTGTCTGCACCCTCGCTAAGTGAGATAGTGTTGGTATTCTGATCAAGATACTCGAACACACTGCCTATCGTTTTAAATACCAAAGTATTATCCAACATGTCAAGTGATCCACAACGGAAAACTCAGCGAGGCGTTCGGAGTAAACACAGGAGTCAGACAAGGGTGCTTATTATCACCAATGATATTCCTAATTGTGGTGGACTGGATTATGCGTCAGACAGTGGGAAACGAGAAGACAGGGATATCCTGGACCGACGTGAAGAACCTAGAAGACCTGGATTTCGCGTGATGATTTATGTTTGATGTCACACAAAATCGAAGACTTACAAGCGAAAACCGACAAACTGGTCGAAGAAGCAGCAAAGACAGGACTCCAGGTGAACATAGACAAGACGGAGGTTATGAAAATAACCAACCAACAACAACAACAGCAGCAACATCCAGCGCCAATCACCATCAACGGGAGGGATTTGAAAGAGGTTACTTCATTCACTTATCTAGGGAGCATTGTCTCAACTACAGGAGGAACGGACGAGGATGTCAAATCGAGAATCGGGAAGGCGAGAAACACATTCATCAACCTGAAACCAATCTGGAAATCTTCGTCACTCACCAGCATCAACAACAAAATTCGGATTTTCAATACAAACGTCAAGTCAGTCAGTTCTTCTATACGGATCAGAAACTTGGTGGGTCACAAAGAATATTTCCAACAGCCTGTTGCAGACCTTTATCAACAACTGTCTTCGCTGGCTCTATACTGAAGATCAGATGGCCAGAAAGAATCACCAACAAGAAACTATGGGAACAAACAAAACAAGAACCAATCGCTCAACAAATATGCAGGAGAAAGTGGAGATGGATTGGACACTCGCTGAGGAGGCCGCTGGGTGACATCGCGCGTCAGGCCATCACTCGAGTGGAACCCGAAAGGGAAGCGGCGAGTGTGACGTCCAAGGGTGACATGGAGGAGATCGTGTGAAGAGGAGTTGAAACAGTATGGATTAACATGGATGCAGGTGAAAAGTACAGCAGAAGACAGAAGCAAGTGGAGACGTGCAGTTGAAGCCCTATGTTCCACTAGGAACCCAAGGGAACAACAACAACAACACATTATCCAACAGACTAGTAAATCATCTTTTCTTCAAGAGGTGCCAATTGTTATTTTATCGAATTTTCACTTTGTTTTACTTTTTATCGTATCGAAGTGATAGACCTTTGGTGGTAGCATACATGCTCAGTGAGAGCGCCATTACTCATTGAGATACAGTTACATTCGACTGACTAATCTCAAATAGGACTAAAACACACCATCCTGGATTCCATAACTGATGGTCATCAAAATTCATATAAATGAATAACATGAATGAACGTGATTCCCAATTACTACTGTTATTATTATTATTATGTCTTAAAATTAACTGGACTTTACATTTAATCATTTTTGTATACTTTTCATCTAATTTCAGTTGAAATAGTCAATAATAACTTCAGAATCGTTGTACTTTGTATACTTGATAGCCAAGTTGATCGATATATATATATATATATAAATTGTAAAAAGTACTGAGGTTCATTTTAGCTGTACTTTTATCTTTGAAATATGTATAACTGATAGGTAATAACTAATATTACTATTATCATCACGCGTCCAGTGGTTAGGACTCTCGCCGACCATGCCCATCATTAGTATACAATCAATTCTTGTTTGAGGATGGCGAAGAAAGCGTGATAATAAATTACAATCAGTGTACTCACCTATTCCTATGATGAAATGATTATTAGTAGCAGTGGGTGTGGTGCATGACGATGAAGTTACTGTTAAATATGTCTTCATTTATGTTATATGATTGCATAAAATCTGCAGCAGGTCCTAGAGCAAGGTTTTGTACTTACTGTGACTCGTCAAAAAGCCTTATCTACAACCTTGAAGTGATTGATATTTCCTCGGGGATTTCAACCGATGTGACTCAATATTGTAGTCAGATGCGTTACCACTGAGACGTTTAAGCCCATGATATGATCATTTATATAACCAGTTGACAGGCAACATCGCGATTAAAGCAAAATGAAAACTGACAGCTGTTTAGTTTATACCAGTCAAACACTTGGCCACTATGCTGTTCTCTAGTTCTTTTGGAGTTCGAATGAAAACTGTAAGTCAACAGTAACACGTACTGAAGTTTATCAGGCAATCAGTTATACGAAATTAGAGGTAAAGCATGAAAGTTCACCGGGGATAAATGAAATGTTTATTTATATCTATGCTAAACGGAGTTTGATAATTTCACTTCTTTGAAACGCATACTCTAGAAATACACTGATTGTTTACTAGAGGTTAACCAGTGTTGTGTATTTGGTTCATAGTGCTGAATTAATTGTATTAGTCAAGTTTACAATGTGGGGTCGCCAAGCTAGGTGACTCAGTATTTTGGTGGATCTTGAATTGGTGTTAGGATGGTCGACTGTAATCGGTAGGAATTTTCGACCTAGTTTCGTACTTATTGTTGTTCATCATGAAGTTGTATTTGCAGCCCCGAAAGAAGTGATGTCTCTGCGTGGATTCTAACCCGAGTCATCGGGTCGTCTGAGATTAGTGTTAACCTGTGTGACTGGAGCATTGCAGAATTCTGAGAAATTTATATTTTAAAAAGGCAAATTCTTTAAGTTTGATTCCGAGACTCAGTAACAATGGTGCTGTTTATATACGAATGGGTTGCCAGCCTCACACTCAGACATCCCTCCTTTTCCTGGCTAACTATTGACCAGTAAACAAGGCGGGGTTTAGGATTGCATCGGTAGGGAATCGGACCCGGATTCTACCACTGAACTAACAATGCAAGCAACTGCTATACACCATGCGAATTCAGAACACTTTGTTCATGTCGTAACCCGTCCCTGTGGATGAATAGTCAGCGGGCTCAACTTGTAACCTGAGGTTGATGGGTTCGATTCTCCGGGGTGGGGTGGGGCAGTGATGGGTGTGCACTGATGAAGAGTCTCAAACTAGGACAGAACAGCTGTCTAGTACCCCGTAGTTTTCAGTGGTTCTCCTATTGAAGTTGTTTCATGATCTAACTTGGAATCTCCCCAAATACTGTGATCTCTTTTTCATGTGGAAATTTGAGATTTCCTCGATCCCAATAATCATTAAAATGTTCCATAGTAAAGCAGTTTACGATATTGCTCTGTATTGATGTCTGGCCTGACCAATTAACTATTCATTTACAGAAAGTTCTAAAAAGAGACAATTAAAGTTTGATTTTTAAAAGAGGGATGATTTAAAAAACTTTTTTTTCTTACCTTTGTTTTTTAAACAAAAAACAAAACAAACATCCGATTGTATCATATTGAAAGGGTTTATGTATTTCTTGATTGCATCATACATTTACATAACCTTGAAGATTTTTTCTATCACACATGACGTTTTAATAGTGAATACAAAAATAGCAGATGATTTTCATTGTTTTTGTAATTATACTTTCATTTTGCATATTTAATTAACACAGTTCAATGTGAATATTCGAATCCCGTGATTATTTATTTCCACTTATCACTATGATGTATATTTGAAGCAGTTGATAGAAATAATATTCAAGTGTTGGTTTGTAGGGATTTGATTGGTTACAGGATTTTCATCATGAGCTGACACTAGTTAGAGAACCATTGGAAAACCAACTGGGAGTACTGGACAGCTGTTTCGTCCTAGTTTGGGACTCTTCAGCAGTACGCACACACCGCCAGGGTTCGAACCCAGGACCTTCTGGTTACAAGGCGGGCTTGTAGACCATTACGCCACTGGGACCCTCTCTGCAACGACTGCTCACCTACTGGTCACGACTTCCCACTGAACCCCAGGTAACTACCTACCTGAAATAATATTCTCTTGTGGATTTGAACTTACCTTATCCAACACTAAAATCAGAGATGATTAGTTACATTGCATTGTCCCTGAATATGTATCACTGAGTGCAATGGGTTTGAATGCCTTAGAGGACATATAACTTCCATCGAGGTTGCATAAATAACTTGTTGAGCAGAGTCAGCAGGCAAGAAATCTAGATTTAAGGTGTTCAAGCAATAACCTTCAGCTAGTCATTGGGGATCTCCTTGTCTACTGAATATATTGCAAGATGAATCGGTACTAATGTTAATCTACGGAGCGCTAATAGCTTTGACAAAGTAACAATAAAATGACAGTTTACAATATAGTTTTCCAATATTCGTTTTGTCGGGATTTTTGTTTGATTGGTTGAACGATTTCATCATGAGCTGACATCAGTTAGGAAACCATTATAAAACCAACTGGGAGTGCTGCCAGACAGCTTTTTCCTTCGTCCTAGTCTGGGACTCTTTATCACCCATCATCAGGGTTCGAACCCAGGATCTTCTAGTTACAAGGCGAGCTAGCTCGTAGACCAACAAACCACTGGGACCCGATCCAGTGGCCAGCCTATGCCTTCTAACTTTTGCCAATTCATGACATAGCGTGACCACTTCTCGGTGTCTTCTTCGATGAGTAACTGTCCTCACCTTCAAGTTAGAATTCATTGGTCATTGGATTGGGTCCCACTAGCTTAATGGTCTACGAGCTAGCTCGCCTTGTAACGAGAAGGTCCTGGGTTGGAAGCCCCCTGTGGTGGGTGCATACTACCAAAGAGTCTCGAACTAGGACAGAAGAAACAGCTGTCCAGTACTCCCAGTTGGTTTTCCAATGATTCTCTAACTGATGTCAGCTGATGATGAAATCCTCTAACGAATAAATATTTTTATATAATAGCCCACTGAAGGTTTCTCACCAATAACACTTGAGACCTATTAAATAAGTGAAAAGGTAACCAGTATTTGGAAATGTGTGAATGTATCTATGTTGGGTGTCATTAACGTAGGAATCATGAATTCAGTTCTGAGTATATATCATACGCAAGTGGATAAAATTAACTCATGCGAGTAGGCTGAAACCATGTTGAACTGTGTTTATCACTCTCAGTTTTTCTATCTATTTAGGCAATTTAGATCTCATTTTTTTGAGAAGTTTTATAACAATCTACAACACTATTTCGCTATTATATAAATGAACATTGTAACTTAATCATGTGCCATATAGAATCATAGTTAACGTCTTTATTAGTGAATTCCATAGCGATAGTATTTCTTCTAAACTTGATTTCACTAGTATTCTTTTCGATTCACATGTACTGACTTTACGTTCATTCCATAAGGAGAAATGCGGAATTTTGTCATTTAGATTAACTAAAGCGCTTCCTGATGTATTTGATTTTCTCGCATTGGAGAATTCTAATATCAAATTTGTTGAGAACCATTTTAATCTCATGTAAATTGTGTGATCTGCATAGGAGGATCACAGTTATGGTAAGTCATGGCTTTTGAGTATTATAACCTTCATGTGTAGATCATTTGTGAAGTAGTTAAAAAAAGGAAAATCACTTCACAAAAATATAGTCTTTACTCTTCCCTCAAAAGAGTATAGCTGATTTCCAACTGTGTTAAAAGCACCTAACTAAAAGTAGACAACATATGCACAATGTGAATTGCAAGTAATCCTACATCTAATCCATCTAACTTATACTGGTACTTCATCATCACTTCAACTGACTTCAAACTTTAGACTAAATAAGAATTTAATCATATAATGAAT